CTAGCCAGACTTGCTATATATATGAGCTCCAAGTTCAGCTGCATCTATGAGCTCCAAGTTGTGTAAGAGACCCTTCTTTAGTAAATAAGAGAGAAATTGAGACACCCAGCATCAACCTCCGACCTCCACGTGCAAGTGCACACATGTGTAACCACGTGCACATGACCACACATAAACACATGAATGTACCATACACTCATATACACATGCACAAATAAGAAGTCAATACATATAAGCCCAAGGTTCTGTGCTATTGCTTCAACATTTCCTTCAAAATAATTAAAATAGGCATCAACCAGAGTTTTCAGTTACCTTAAGATCTTACAAATTATCTTAGGCTGATAGAATACAAAACACAACTACTGTTGAAATAAAGTTTGCCATAATAATGGGTTAATTTGGTTAAACAAATGCACATTATGCATACTATTAAACATTTGGGAGAAGTAATGTTAGCTTGTTCCGTCAGTAAACCTGTAAAATGTTTAGGAAGAACATATTCAAGTAAACTGAAAATACTCCTATGTATTATACCTATAACTGACAAATAAGATATAAGTGATTTTAGTAAGTAAATTATTAAATTATCCTTAATTATTAAATATATACATAAATTATATGCTCTTGAATTCTTTTTTATTTTTATTTTTTCTTTTTTATTATTTTAATTTTAAATAGCTTGCTTTACATGTCAATCCCACTTCCCTCTCCCTCCCCTCCTCCCGCACCCCCCCCCCACCATACCCCCAGCCTCCCACCCTATCATCACTTCCTTCCACATAGGAGATATCTAGAGTCTGACATTTTACTCAGGGCAGGGGCCAGGCACTCCCCTAAGAGTCCAGGCTGAGAGAGCATCCCTCTTTGTGTTATGGACACACGAAGTCCATTTGTATGCCAGGGATAAACACTGATCCACTGCCCAGGGTCCCATAGGTTGCCCAGGCCTCCTCACTGACTCTCACATACAGGGGGTCTGGATTAGTCCCATGTTGGCCTCCCAGCTGTCGGTCTGGGGTCCAAGAGCTCTCCCCTGTTCAGATCAGCTGTCTCTGCTGGTTTCGCCTGCCCATTCTTTGCCAATTTGCTCATCGCTCCTCTCTCTCTGTCACTGGGTTCCATAGGTTCAGTTCAGTGTTTAACTGTGGGTGTTTGCCTCTGCTTCCATCAGTCACTGGATGAAGGCTCCAGGATGGTTATAGACATCAAGTTCATTATCAGGAATGGACATTTAAGGTGGCCTCTCCACTATTGCTTAGCTTGTCAGTTGGTGTCATCCCTTTAGATCACTAGAGGTCTCACTGGTGCCAGATCTGTCTTCTAACCTATGATTCCCTCTTCCCCCTATTCTACCCCCCACTCAACCTTCCTGTTCCCCCATGACCTATTCTCTCTTCCTCTTCTCCCCCTCTCTTCTTCCCAGCTCCCACTCCCCCCCAACCCCCGCCGTGTTCCCAATCTGTTTAGAAGATCTTGCCTCATTTCTTCTCTGGGGTACTATGCATATTTCTCTTAGGTTCTTTCCTGTTTCCCAGACTGTCTGTCAGTGGAAGTGCAGATTGGCACTATCCTGATCTGTGTCTAAAATCCATATATGAGTGAGTACATACTGTGTTTGTCTTTTTGTGACTGGGTTACCTCACTCAGGATGGTTTCTTCTAGTGCCATCCATTTACCTGTGAATTTCAAGATTCCATTGTTTTTTTTTTCCGCTGAGTAATACTCCATTATGTAAATGTACCCCATTTTCTCTATCCACTGTTCAGTTGAGGGCATCTAGGTTGCTTCCAGGTTCTGGCTATTACAAATAATGTTGCTACGAACATAGTGGAGCAGATGTCCTTGTTGTATGAATTCTTAAAATAGTTGTCTCTCTTTTTTAAGATAGAGTTTCACTACCCCCCCCCTTGCCCGTCAACCCTTGCTACCTGTGGCAGATGAGGGAGCTTACCCTTCTGTGAAAGTGGGATAGCTGGCCATGCCCCCTTCATTTCCATGTGGTGAGGCAAGGGAAAGATGCCCTCCACTCTCGTCCCTGGACCTCGCCTGGACAGCACAGCTTGACCCTCTTGACAGGGTGTGGGTGAATCAGCCTGAGAATATGAGCTTGGGAGTTCTGGCTCCACCCTCATCTGCCATAAGGTGGCAAGGGAGAGACTACCCTCAATCCCCACCCTGCCCTTCACTGACATTTGGAAAAGCTGTGCCTGAGGTCATAAGAGCAGGAGAACTGACCCTGTCTTTCACCAGCTGCAGCACTCAGGAGAGTGGCCCTGGTAGTGTAGGTGTTAGTGAGCCAGCCCAAGGGCATGAAAGCAGAACTAGCCCCTGCCCCCTTGCTCATTGCTGCATAGCATGAGCTACCTGGGACAGTGCTGGAGAGTTGGTCGTGGTGGTGAGGATGAGAGAGAGACCAACCCTGCAACTGCCCAGGCCCAGAACCAGGGTTATGAGTTGGCCCACCCCAACATCTGCCTCATCTGCAGGGGCACATGAAGGGGCTGGTCCTGCAGGATCTCCACAACACCAGGCAAAAACAGGATCCCTGAGAGGAGCCCCAGTGAGGATTCAGTAACCATGGTATAGCAGAAACCAGAGGCCTCGAAGCAGACCAATGACTCTTTGCAATGAACATTTGCAAGTAAAGTTATATGGACTAAAGGGTACATTGTGTGACTCACTGTCTAAAACTACACTTCCATGACAAGATTTTTTTCCTTTTCTCTTAAGTTCTATTTTATTTTATCTTGGGGGTAGATTGCAGGGGCAGAGGGTAGATACAAAAGGAAGTGGGAGATTAATGAGATCCAGATGTATGATGTGAGAGCCACAAAGAATAAATAGAAATGAAGTTTTAAAAAAAGATAGTCTAACTATGTAGTACTGGGTAGCCGGGAAGTTGCTATATAGACCAGGTTGGCCTTGAATTCACGAAGATCTGCTTTCTGGGATTAAAGACTTGCACCACCACCACACTGGCACTAGGATAGGTTTTTAAAGATTACTGTTTAGCAATTTGGAAGTCTTGAAAGTTCAGTTTCCTCATTTTGTGGGAATTTTAGCAATCTTAACTAAATATGTATTTATTTCTATAAACCAATGAGAATAAAAGTAAGCAGTGTTCCCCCGCCCCTCCCCCACCCCATGGCCTCTGCATCAGCTGCTGCCTCCAGATTCCTGCCCTGTTTGAGTTCCTGTCCTGACTTCCTTCAGTGATGGACTACTATGTGGAAGTGCCAACCAAATAACCTCCCAAACAAAACAAAATAAAACTCCTGTAATCTAAGAGCTTGCTTGTTTGTTGTTGTTTTAATACTGGGAATCAGAGCCAGAGTTTTGTACATGTCAGTCATTGCTGTACCTCTGAGCTTTATCTCCAGCCCTTGGTTTTATGAGACATGCTTTTGCTGTGTAACCCATGCTGGCCTACCTGTAATTTATGATTGTGTGTATGCATACTGACTGCTGGGATTACATGTGTATACCACCATAGCCTGCTTTATGAGATTTTGATAATCTAATTGGTAAGGTAGGAAAAGATTACACATTCCCACAGAAAATGAAGAACTTCAGAACTGTCAGTATTAGGGACATCGTTATTCATGACCATCGTCTCTTTCTTCCTTTTGCCTAGCATTTACTGGTTTATCTCAAAGGTGTTTGTCGTTCAGTAGGATAACACATTTACTCTTTTTATGTATTAAGACAGAAGATTTATAAAATGTAAGCTTTCAGAACTAGAAAATAGCAAGTACACTCAGAGCTACATGTTTAATTTTCAGAGAATTTGTGATTAAACTCATCCTTTCTCTCCTTGGTTTCTTCCCTGTTGTATATGAAAGAACAAACCATTTAGCCAGGACAATTGCTGTGTTCCCTCACTGAAGCACAGGCCATGTCTAGTGATTTTTTTTACCAGCTTGCTGCTCATCAATGTACCTGTCTTCATCAATTCAGCATGTGAGCCAAAACATGGTTTAGACTGTAGAATATCACTGGAAAGAGATTGCATGAAGTTTTCTATATTATGTAGACACTAGAAACGTTTCTCACAATAGCAATGATACCATTTCAAGTGTCCATGCCTAGAATTATGTTTCAAATAAAATCTCATGGGAAATAGAACGTTGCTAGATATTTGAAGTGTCTATGGAAGCAAAAGAAACTGTGGCACTTGGAATGAGGCTTTAAAATAAGTTCTAAGTTCTAATACACTCTTGATAAATAGTGTTCTATTTGTAAATCATCAGGGCTCAATAAAAGTGTAATAAAAGAACAAGTGAATGTTGATAAGAGGATAAAGTGACAGCACCAATACAAAAAAGTTACAGGGTTCCAGTGAAGTCAGTGACAATGGTTTTTGTGAAACAAATACCTTTAGCAAAGGTATCTTCGCTATTCATTGTAAAATTACATTCATAGAAAGGCAACTACATTAATGTACCCAAAGGGTTATGCATTTGTCTGTTCTACACTCAGTTTTAATGAGTAACTAGTGCCAAGGCATGTTAAAATAAAAAAAAAACAACCAAACAACTTGTGGGGTGTATCATGCAGTTCATACAAAGAACACAATCTCCATCTTCTGTAAAAATTGTCTTCAAGGCCCCACCTAGGTCTCAGCTATCTTAGAGTGCTACAAGTGAAAAATCAGTAGTTATTGTTATGACCCTAGGCAACTACAAGGTTTTTTTAATGATCCTCTAATTGTCAGAGAAAACTTGTCTTTATTCAATATAGTTATAATAACCTAATACTTTTGAAACCACTGGGATTGTGATTGGGAAACATTACCAATCATTCTGATATTTACTTTATTGAAATATTTCATTTTCTGATCATTCTGGACCATTTACTATATAATCCTTATAGGTGAATTTCTGTTTTTCTTAAAAGAAGGGGGACTTTGTGGGACTAGATTTCAAAGGTTAGGCGCTTGGCTGTTAAGACTCTCTTGGACTGCTTTCAATTGTTGGCTGTAGCAACTTGTTTTCTTGCAGAGATGAAGCATCTGGTTTTTGTTATCTCAATGATGCTGTCCTGGGAATATTAAGATTGCGACGGAAATTTGACCGTATTCTCTATGTGGATTTGGATCTGCACCATGGAGATGGTAAGCCCTTCAGTTTCAAAGATGCTTCCCTACTAGGACAGCAGGTTTTGATCACTAAAGCTACTTCTAGGCAAATAAAAGGAGAAATGCCTCATGCAATTGAAATTTTCCTAATTTTCATTTCTGGAGTGGGCGGTGCATAGATTTCTCTGACTAAGGCAGTTCCTTTCTGCTGCCCAAGCTGGGCAGGCTCCTGTCATTTCCTCTCTCCTGTCTCCTGAAGCTAAACTTTATAGTGGAGGATGGAAGAATGGGAAAATCTTACTCGTGTTTACTCCAATGTCCAGGAGCCACTTTGGGGCCTTGAATGGGTTTTAAGGAAACTCAGGTTATAGGTAATGGTCGTTTCTCTTCTCATCAGTTTCACTCAAGGTAGAATGGCTATATGAAGGGCAATATTTTAGAGTTTTTACCAATAGGCTACTAGTTCATGGAGTGATCCCTTTCTTTGTGTTAACAACATATATAATCTTGGAATAGGAGTACATTGCTAGAAACATAACAGAAAAGGATTAAAACAAACATCACACATTGGGAAACATGCCGCCTGAATTTCTGACTACTTTCTAGGGTGGAACACAACCTTGATTTAAAATGTTCATAGCCTCTTCATCGCCCATTACAGGGGGCAACATGTCGCAATGGCTTATTCTTATATAACCAGTGAGGTAACAATGGATTTTCATTTTCATTTATTTTTTGAGATGGGGTCTCATTATGTAGGTCTAAAACTCACTCTGTTGACCAGCCTGGTCTTGAACTCAGGGATCTGCTTGCCTCTGCCTCTGAGTATTGGGATTAAAGACATGTGCCACCACCTACCTGGTGGGTTTTGATTTTTTAACAAGGTTGTACAATACAGATCCATATATAGATGTGTATATAAATGTGTGCAGAGACCATATGTAGTTTAGGGCACTAGGATGTTTACTATCTAGCCCCATGTACTTTGATAACTCCTAGCCTAGAGAAATGGTTCCCATAGATGATTGTGCATCTAGGTGACCCGGGGGAGTTTAAGTGCAGATTACTGTGCCACAGGTATCAGATACTCAGACTTAGTAGTCAGTCATATAGTCTCCACTGTAAAACCACTTCTGTTTTGAAACCATGTTCTTATGGAAAAGTAGTCCCTTCCTTCCTTCCTTCCTTCCTTCCTTCCTTCCTTCCTTCCTTCCTTCCTTCCTTCCTTCCTTCGGTTTTGTTTTTTGAGACAAGGTTTCTCTGAATTGTTTTGGAGGCTGTCCTGGAACTCACTCTGTAGACCAGGCTGACCTCGAACTCAAAGAGATCTGCCTGCCTCTGCCTCCCCAGTACTGGAATTAAAGGTGTGAGCCACCACCACCACCAGGCTTGAAAAAGTAGACTTTCTTTAGCTCACCTTTTAAGGCTTCAAATAGGCCTTACCTCGTCTTTCTAACCATGTCTCACTGGTTTTTTGTTTGTGTGTTTGTTTGTTTTACTCAGTGAGCATGTCTCACTGTTCCAGACATGTTTCTCTAATCCCACCTCCTTGACTTTGCTTCCGTTTTCCCTAGTTTAACCACCTCCTCCCTTACTGCAGCCCTACATTCTACCTATTCATTCAGGTTCCATCAGCAGTGCGTTATTCGGACCACTCCAGCCCAAGGATACTCTTGTGTGACTGAATCCCTGCATGTTTACATCACTGTTTTATGTTGTATTGTTTTGCATTATTCATTTAAAGATATATCTATGTCTTTTCTACCCCCAGATACTGTAAGTTCTCCCAGAGCAGAGATCAAGTTGTTTACTTCTTTCTGTCAGTACTGTACATATAGTAGCAACTCAGTAAACTATTTGTTTTATGAATTAACAAATGCCTATGGAATTCAGAGTATTAGTACCAGAATTCAACAATAGAACCAACTCTGCCAAACCATGTAAGAAAGAATTAAGACTGTTACCTGAAACCATTCTTTCCATTTGTAGTGTTATTTCTTCACCATTTAGAGTTTCCTGTTTCAGCCAACTTTTATGGTGTGTTTCATTTCACTTTATTTCTCGTCTTCAGCACCTCCCTTCCTGTGACCTTTGCCCTACCGCCAAACCCTTACACATTTGCTTTATTTTAAATCTCCCATGATTCTACCGCTAGCATCCTGTGATGGCTTCACTAGCCACTCCTACCCACCCTCACCTTTCCCTACCTAACCTCACTCCTCTTTCCTACTAACTTCTCATCCCCTGCCTCTTTATGTCCTTTTTAAAGTACAATTTTTTTAAACCATGCCTGATAGCATTTACTGTGAGACAAGACACAAATGGCCACTGAACACATGAAATGGTGCTCAATGCTCTAATACTAAGAGAAATGCAACTTAGAGCCATTATTTTGCTCAAGAGTTAAAAGAAATAACTGCTAGCATTAGTCATCACAGTAGAAAACAGGAATTTGCATACAGGATTGGTAGAAATGTAAATTGCTACATTTCTGGATGTATAAATCATTAGCATTTTCATAAAGTGCCCTTGTTTAGTACTTCTACCTCTGTTGAAATGGTGTTTTCATTTATTTTATTTTGTTTACTTAATGCTTTCTGCCTAGAGTCTTTAACTGGCTTTAACTACCTCCCTAGGGCAAAACGCAAGGCTTGGGAAATTCAAACATACCTGTTATATACAAATAGAGTTCATATTTTTAAGGTCTCTGTTGGCCTCTAATAAAGACTTAAATACATTTAAGTCAACACAGAGACAATATCTTTGTTTGTAATATAAAGGAACACAGTACCTGGATTTGCTAATAGTCCTTCCATTTCAGAGTGAGTATGATTGAGATCCCAGGAGGAAAGGGGCAGCATTGGGCAGCATGGCCAACACATAAGTAGTGGCTTTTGAGGGTTATTTTGAATCTAAACTTTTATCTCCCAGGCATCCTCATTTTCTGTTTAAGTGGAAAGGAGACATCTGTCTACAAAAGTTCCCCCCTCCATCTTCCTCCAGGCTTTAAAATGGTTTTAAAGCTGCTATTAACAACTGAAGGTGCCCCCTACTCTGGGCACATACCAAACCGGTTTGAAGTTGGTGACAGCAAGCTCCCTTAAAGTTTTATTACTATCTTGGGTTATAAGAATTTAATTGTATTTCTCTCACTTCCTTTAAGCAGTTCCAAAATGCAAATATTTGTTTTAGTAAATAAATAAACAGAATGCAACATCTTCCTATACAGGAGCTGTTTAGGGACAGGGCCAATACTATTTTTTTTTTCAGAAGAAAGATGTAAGTTACTTAGTGCTCATGGGACTTTGGGTTCCCCACTTTTATAACCAAATCTGTATTATAAAGAGGCACTGCATTTATTAATTATATTTTAAAGGATTTAACTAGAAACATTTAAACAAAATAGACCACGAACCTGCCTTGCTGGTGCCACTTTTCTATACTCAGGACTGTGGATAGAGCCTCAGTTCTGGGCTCTTGCTCTTTCATGCCATTTAGAATAGAAATTCGGGTGAACTTGGGTGTCCTGTTGCTTGGAAAGGAGAAGCTCAGTTAGAGTTTGTCATGAATCTGGGCTATGGTCTGCCGCATCCGTAATTACTGAAATCAGAAGCCAGCGGTTTGTGTTCTTTTAGTTTTCCACTCATTATCTATCACAGCTGCCGTCTCCTCTCACCTTCTTCCCATAGCTACTTGTTACATTTTCCTGTGTTGAAAACACGAGTTGCATATCTGAAGTGATCCTCCTGGCTTTTCTCTCTGGTAGGTGTGCAAGATGCCTTCAGTTTTACATCCAAAGTTATGACTGTGTCCCTGCACAAATTCTCCCCAGGATTTTTTCCAGGCAAGTCAACTGCATACTACCGATTATATTACATGTCTAATTCTACAATTCTTTTACATATTTCTTACATTTTTGGTTGTGAGCCTAGCCTTTAATGGCTGCCATTTATCCAGCCCCTTTTACATGTTTCTTATATCCTATTTTATGTATTTCCATGCTGTTAACACCTTATTTGTGCTATTCTATGCAAAATTTTAACTCATGTCACCGTAAGTGACAATGACAAAGGGAATGACAATGAATAGTTTAATTCCAGATAATTTTATGGCCTGTCAACAGACAAATCACTTATTTTTTATCACATATCATATGTAATTCTGATAACTGCAAATGACATGTGATATTAGCTCTTATTAATTATTTCATCCAGTAAGATATAAATTAATATTTCTCAGTTTCCTTATTGTTTTCATGCTTTCCACGACATTGTTTGTAATTAGTATTTCTCTAGATTATTTCCATAGTTTTATCTCCTCAGAAACAACCAAGAATTTAGAATTGTTGTCCTAATTGACCATTTCGCTATCTCAATTGCTCTTGGACAGTCCTTTGTGCTTTCTAGTGCTTGTGTTCCTGATGACTGATCATAGCCTTCCTGTCTTTTACAGGAACAGGTGACATGTCTGATGTTGGCCTGGGAAAGGGACGGTACTACAGTGTCAATGTGCCCATTCAGGATGGCATACAGGATGAGAAGTACTATCACATCTGTGAAAGGTATGGCAGTAACACTGAGCTAGTTTCAGGTATATTGGATTTCTGAAAGGTGCAATGTTTTTCAATCTCACAATTCTTGTTTTCAAGGAACAATTGGAAAATGAAACCATTGTATTCTCACATACCTTTTACTTTTTCTTATTTCAAGACAAGGTTTCTCTATGTAGCCCTGGCTGTCCTGCAACCCTCTATGTAGACCAAACTGGCCTTGAACTCACAGAGATCTGCCTGTCTCTGCCTTCAAAGAGCTGGGACTAAAGGCCTGTGCCACCATGCCTGGGTCACATAGCTTTTAGATACTACTTACTATGCTTCTTTAAGCTGGTAACCATCCTCTGTTGGAGAAAACAATTGGACCAGAGACAAGAGGTTTGACCTAACCTGCTACACAGTATGATGAATACCATCCCAGAATAAAAGCTATGATAAATACCATCCCAGAATAAAAGCTTCTAGGCTGTCCTGGGGAATACTTTCACTGGTACTTTCTTGCATGTGTATCATTTCATTAGCTCGACAGGGTGTGTTTCAGTTTTTTTCTCATAGAGATGTTCTTTTCTGCACTAGCATGAATATCGGAGTTGATGTTAATTATTTACCATTCATTATTGTGTTCTACCTATTCAGGTTCCTGACTACACTTTTAATAGTGTAGAGAGAAAGAGCAAGGGGGATTATAGAGGAGGAAATGTTTCTGTGCTGAAGGTAGAATCCAGGGCTTTTTATATACTAACCTACATTCCTCCCCCACCCAAATTTCTTTTTAACCCATAGTTAAGAATCAAATTACCATCATACACGTATATAGGGAGTTTGGTTTGTAGAGCATTGATTGGGGTTGAGAGTCCCACAGAATGGAGAGAGGTTAAACTCATATTCATAAAAATTAAGTTTGGTCAGGTACACTTTTACTGCTGACAGTGGCAGTGGTCAAGGTAAATCTGACTAGAAGTCCACTAGTCAAGCCCACTGAAAGTGAACAGTTTGGGTGGAAACACTTTTAGTCCCTACCCCCACCCAGCTCACATTTCTCCCAATTGCTAGTGGAAACCAGGGACTTCCCAGAGGAGCCTTGCCTGCACTGGTCACCATCACTGGCAGTTGTGTAAACAGAGTAGAACTATGAGGAATAAAAACTTCAAAGGTGCCTTTTAGCTTAAGAGGCCTAGTAAAGCAAGCCATCCTGCAGTCATTCAGCCTCTTCACAATCTTCACCGTGTCCCTCGGATAACTCTGTATTGTCAGGCTGGAAAAAATCGTTGAGCCTGTTACTGATGATTTAATTGCCCTTCTTTGTTCCCTTAGGCTTTGTTCTGTCCTTGAGATGTGCAGATCAGAACTGCTTATGCAACATTACCAATGAAGAAGTCCTGTGGTTCTCTGTAAAGGGAAAATTGTTTTGTTTGCCTTTTAATCTCCTTCTTGATAGTGCCCAACATTTTGTTGGCCTTTTTTCCCCCATAGCAGGACACTAAGTTGTTCTCTTCAAGGAACTGTCCACCAGGTTTCTTAGAGCTCTTTCCTGGGTCTTAATTGGAAGATCATAATGTACCAGCCCACAAGCATACTTTGGAATATCTGGCCCTCTCTAGTGGATCACCTTACATGTACCCCTATTGAGTTATCTGCCAATCATAAAACCTCATGTGATTTTCCTTTATCCCCCATCAGCCTGGCATTTCACTGCCTGGGAAAAAACTGAATATTATGTGCTGATTTGAGGATTTCTAAGCATCTCCTTTCCTGAAGGAAGGCTACTGTTTATCCTTCAGTCATAAAAATGTCTCTTTTCTTCTCTATTATTTTCTTTTTTTATGTGCACCAATTTCTTATAAATGATTTTTCAAAAAGTTAATGCTATGGCAATTTATGCTGAATATAGGCTTGGTATTAAACATAATTAGAAGCATTTTAAAAGTAAATATAGCCCCAAGGTTACATATGATTTTCTTTTACAGAATCCATTTTGCCACAGGCATCATGGTACACTGCTGGCTTTGAGTACGGCAGGCTAGCGTTCAGTAAAGAGTCTTGTAGCTTGTCAACTAAAGAACCTGACACTCAGTTTATAAAGCCGAGAATTGCCTGGTGCGCCTCATGAGTAGCGCGTACGGTGATCACCCAGACTAGCAGCCCCCAGGTTTATTTATATATTTGTTTGTTTGTTTATTTATTTTGGTTTTTTGAGACAGGGTTTCTCTGTGACTTTTGAGGCTGTCCTGGAACTAGCTCTTGTAGACCAGACTGGTCTCGAACTCACAGAGATCCGCCTGCCTCTGCCTCCTGAATGCTGGGATAAAAGGCATGCGCCGCCACCACCTGGAAATATTTTTATTATATTTTTTCCTCTGTACCAGATCCCCCCCATCCAACTTCATGTTGTTTTGGTCTCTAAAAAGCAGTGTGACAACTGACCTATCACCTACCTGAGGAATGGCTGATCTTTTAGGAAAGTCATACCACCTGTCTGCTCTGTCCTTTTTACCTGTTTTGTTCCATAAACCCACTGGTTCTCTGGCTCAGCACTCACTATGGAGATAGAAGCTTCTTAGCAGCTAAATGGATGATGTTGGGTTCTGCATTGTCTCTCAATTGCTAGTTTGTTCCTGGCTGATTTTCTTTGTAGGAATCACTGAAACTCTTTCCCTTCTGTTTTTCCTCTCTCTCTCTCTCTGTCTCTCTGTCTCTCTCTCGCTCTCTCTCTCTCTTTATCTTAATCTTTCCTCCCTTCCTTAAAAAAAAGATTGCCTTTTCATTGTTTGTGACCTTTCATACTTTGCCAGGTAGTCAGGCAAGGATTTAATAATTTCATCAAAAAACCAAGCTTCCCATATTTAAAATTTCTTCTTATAATAGACTGGATATGAAAACATTACATTAATATTTTCTAATACCATCAAAAGATCTGGAGTTTTTGTTTTGGGGTTTTTTTGTAATGACAATTTCATATTAGATATCCCTGAGTCATTTGATATTTATGGCAGAGGTCCATGATTTTCACAAGGTTCCTGTAAGTTTTATGGGAGTGAGTAGAGTTGGAATTGTAAGTAAAGCCCTTTGTCAGCCAAAATAAAGGAATAGTAGCATTACTATTGTCAGCATGTCTCTTCCCTCAAATGGAAGCTTATGGCTCCAGTATAGAGATTTTTTTAAATCCAGGTAATAATAATCCCATCAAAATTATGCATAACTCAGAAAACCCTCCATAGCATACTCACAAAGTTTGGAGGAAAGGAATGTTAAGCATTGTCATCTAAAAGTGCACATAGAACTGGGGGTGTGGCTGTGTGTGTGTGTGTGTGTGTGTGTGTGTGTATCCATACACTATACATAAACAAGGAGGTACTGTTCTCCCCATATTTAACCTGCTTGCTCTCTAGTTATACATGTGTGTGTTATAAGATTATCTTAATAATATTTTGCTTATTGCCTAAAATTCTATGTGTGTTGATTACTTTGGGATCAGTCATAGTGAAGAAGTGTTCAAGACAAGGACAAAAACAACTACTTCTTTGCTGTTAGTTCAAATAGTAATAGCAGGGTAAACCAACTGCTTGCCTACTGTGAACTGCCATGTCATATGCTGACTTCCACATGAGTAAATTCAGAGTCATGATAGGTTTTCTTAGTTTGTATCCTAGCCGTCATTTTGCACCTCTAACAACCAGCAATTGCTCTTTACTAGATATCTGCTTGTATAATAGGATAACTATACAAAAGGTGCTTGTAATATGTGTGGGTACATGTACTGAAGTTGACAGTAAAAATTTGAAAAAGAAGTCACAATTTTAGGACTTAGATAAAGGTCAGTTGGCTGACAGTGCTTACCTGCCTGCATCCATGAGGCCTTGAATTTCATCCCCAGCAATGCATAAAGTAGGTATGGTGGCACGTGTCTGTAATTCTAGCACTTGGGAGGTAGGCATAGGAGGATAAGGAATTCAAGTTATCCTTCACTACATAGGGAGTTTGAGGCCATCCTGGACTACATAAGACCTTGTCTCAAAGAAAAAAGTTGATTTATTAACAGTGTTCAGCTGTGGGGCTGGAGAGACGGCTCAGAGGTTAAGAGCGTGGTTAAAAGCACTGTTTGTTCTTCCAGAGGTTCTAAGTTCAATTCCGCAACCAAATTGTGGCTCACAACCATCTATAATGAGATCTGGTCCTTCCTCTGGCAAGCAGGCATGCATGCAGGCAGAAATACTACATATAAAATAAATAAATAAATCTTTGAAAAGGAATATTCAACTGCTCAGCTTTGAGATAATAAAGATACTGCATAAATATATTACCCAAAGGAGATACTGTTGAACAAATTCTCCATTAAGAGGACTTAGGAAAGATTCTGTTAAACTGGAGCTCCCACTCAGTAGCAGTCTATATCCATACACAAGGATTTTGCTAAGAAATATCAAGCTATCCTGAGAAATATTCTTATTCTAGTGAACTATGGTTTGTATGCTATTCATTAAAATAAAAATCTACCTATAGTTGGTCCCTGGGCTATTACTCACCTGTGTCCTGTGTCTTATACTATGTAGCTCAAAACTGAAGAAAACCTTTGGTCTCAATCAAAGACCACTGACCTAAAGAAAAATTCAGTCACTCAAAGACTAAATGAATTTTTAAACTTTTAATCTCTTTTAAATATTTCTTTTTATTTCTAATTATTCATATGAATGTGTGTGGATATGTTCATATGATTGCGGGTGCCTGTGGAGGCCAGAAGATGTTGAATCGTCTGGAGTTGGAGTTGCAGGTAGTTAGGATATGTTTGACATGGTTTCCATCTTTCCGGCCTACCCCAAATTAATGGTTTTGCCTCTTTACATTTATAAAAGAACACTAGACCTATTTTAATTCAAACTGTTTGCAGTGTTGAGGAATCAAATTATTTTTTAAAGTTTATCGCCTGCTTTTCAAGAACATTTGTGGTCTTATTACTAGGCTGGACAGAGTAGCCAACCTAGAGAGTACTTGTTCTTTATGACAACAGCAGG